CTGAAGGCCAGCCGCTGGCCGGAGCAACCTGGTAGCGGCACCTGAGCATGAGGGTAAAATCCCAGTCCCAGCCAGCCAGGACTGGGTTTTGTGGGGCTTGGGAATCTCTTCTCATGCAGCTGGGAAGGATTTTTTTTTTTTACCCTGAAGCATTAAATTGATGTTCATTCCCTGTGGTTGCGAGGACGGCTGCGTAAGGGCTGTGCAGTGGGAACAGACCTGTCCCTGCGAGGGCAGTAGACCAGGAGGATGTGTTGAGGTTTGTGGGGGTTCTCCCAAAAATGCGTAGACCTGGGCTTGAAGTGAGGTGGCTGCATGGGAGGGCCAGAGGTGTCTGGGGTGAGACGGGGCATAGGGAGCACTCGCTCCATGGTTCCTTTCGTTACAGTTTTGTAAAAAAACCACCATCCTGCGCTGCATGTTTGCTGTTCGGCGATAGCAGACGCTGTTTGAATAACCCATGTACAGACAGCCTTGCGCCCAGGCTGGCTGAACGGGGACCAGTTGGATGTTTGGGCTTCAAACTCTGCAGGGAGCAGCCTGGGTCGAAAGCTTCACGTGAACAGAGCCCAGCCCCCCGAGGCTGTACCCCACCAGGTCCAGTCCTTGCAGCTCTGCAGAGGGCAGGGGGTGGGAAGACCCCTGTGAAGGTGGGTGATGCTCTGGCACCAGCCCCCAGAGCTCTGACCTCCCTGGAGAGCGAAAGGCACCGAGCTCCCTGCACCCCTGACCCTGCGCCTGGAGCAGGGGGTTCACAGCAGCCAGCTTGTGGGGTGACCCTGTGTCACCGCCTGCGCTTGGAACCTTGGAGGCTGTGGTTGGGCCGGTGGTACTTGGGTGTGTGGGAATACAGCGCAGGGTCCAAACCTGCCCCCAGAGCCTCTCCCTCCTGGAGCTGCCACCCTGGGCACTCCGAGCAGCTCTGCCCTGCTCCAGGCTGGGGTGGGGACAGTGGTGGCTGTCACATCCTCCACTCCCCCAGCTCAGGGGACATGGTCTGCTGTGGGCACAGCTTCCTTCCCAACACTCAGGGCTGGTGCTGCTCCTGGTTCTTGCACAACGTTGGGTTGACAGAGGGGGAGAGTCCATGTGTTTCCCCTGCTCAAGGGCAGCAGCTGGAGGGTGGCCAGAGCTCCAGCCTCCCCCCCTGGTGCTGGAAGCTGCTTCTCACCCTCTGGGTGACGGGGACGGCTTGCTGGATGACAATACCAAAGGGCACCAGGTGGGTGTGGGGCTGGCTGCCTCAGTCCACCCCAGAGAAACCCCTTCCTCTGCACCCTTACCCCAGGGCAGCAGACACTGGCCAGGGGCCTTTTCCCACTTTGCCCCCCCTTGGGTGCGTGTCTCCAGCTTCTGGCCAGCGAGAGGTCCGTTTTGCAAGAGCTGTTGATCGACCTGTTTGCCCGGGAGAAGCCAGGTGGGGTGGGTTTGCAGCCCTGCTGAGCACAGCGGGTCCCGGGAGCCCCATGTCCTCTGTGTCATCGTCGTTGTCCCCCCACCCCAGTGTGTGGGGGCTCGGGGTCCCCACTCCCTGCACCTGGGGAGGCAGGAAGGAAGCAGGGAAGGAGATGGGAGCAAGGAGCCAAATTCAGTGGAGACAGACTCAAGCCCCCTTGCTTCATCCACATCGGGGATGTTCCTCGATTCATCCTTCAAATTATCGCAGGTTTAGAAAACAGGCTCCAAGGGAGGAGGATTTTCCATGAACTCACAGATCCTTTAATTGGTTTGCGTCAAGCTGCTCTCCCACAAGCTGTCCCGAGAGTTTGGGGTGTATGGGAAGCTGAATGAAGAGAGATTTCCCAGCTGAGGGCTGGGGCTGTCTGTACAAACCCCATCCCCGAGCGCTGGGGTCCCCCAGCCCTGCCTGGGGGGCTGCCCCTGTGCTGCAGGAGTGGGCAGAGCTCCCGGGGGCTGTGCTGCTGTCCTCACACCCGTGTCATTCCCATGGCAGGTACAAGGGACCTCCACTGGCCCTATTCCAAACTCGTGATGCTGTACCCGTCCCTGCTCCACGCACTCCCCATCTTTTCTGCCTCTTTCACCACAGCCTCAGGGGAAGGAAGGGACATTGCTGCCTCTGTCCCTGTCCCCTCTGCCTGCACAGGGCTCGTCCCCTCCCTGCTTCCCACAGCCTTCAGGGATGCTCCAGAGGGGGTCCTGCCCGGGCAGGGGTGCAGGGGGATCCTCTGCCTCACCCCCTGCCCCCAGGGCTTTGCACCCCTTTCCCAGCACCCAGAACATGTCTGGGGTACCCCCTGTCCCAGGGGGAGGGGACCAGCCTGGGTGCTCCCCGCTGTGGCCCTTCAAGGGGCTGGTGTGGGGCTGGGGGTCCTCCCTCGCACCCAGCTCAGGCTGATGGGCTCCCTCCTCTGAGGGGGACAAAGCACAATGTGGGTCTGGGTCCCCCATGGGATGGGTGCAGGCTCTGCTCCCACTGTGGTAGCGCTTGGGGCTCAGCCCCCCCCCCCCCCCCCCCAGGGAAGGGCTCGCTCCATGCCAGGGATGCTCCGTGCTGGGGTGCCCTGTACCTGGAGGATGCCCCGTACCGTGCTGTCCTAATGCTGGGATGCTCTGTATCAGGGGTGTCCCATACTGGGATGGGCTGTGCTGGTGATGCTCTCTACCAGTGTGTCCTGTGCTGGGGTGCTCTGTACCTGGAGGATGCTTCAAGCTTAGGGATGCTCTATACTGGGATGTCCTGTGCTGGCATGCTCTCTACTGGGAGGATTCCCCATACTGGGATGTCCCATGCTGGGATTCTCTGAGCCCAGAGATGCTCTCTACCAGGAGGATGCTTCATACTGGAGCTGCCCTGTACCAGGATGTCCCATGCTGGGATGCTCTGTACCTGGAGGACGCTCTGTACTGGGATGTCCTGTGCTGGGATGCTCCATACCAGGGGTGCCCCACACTGGGGATGTCCCGTACCAGTATGTCCTGTGCTGGGATGCTCTGTACTGGGATATCTCATGCTGGGATGCCTGGTACCGGGAGGATGCTCTATACTGGGATGCTCCATACCAGGATGTCCCAGTGCTCTGTACTGGGATGCTCCATACCAGGATGTCCCAGTGCTCTGTACTGGGAGGATGCTCCATATGGGGATGCCCTGTACATGTCCCATGCTGGGATGCTCTGTACGGGGTGTGCTCTGTACCAGGGTGTCCCGTGCTGGGGACGCTCCGTCCCGGGATGTCCCGTTCGGGGATGCTCCGTCCCGGCGCGGCGGCCGCCCGCTCCCGGCGGCTGCTTTAAGGGGAGGGCCGAGCTCCTGACCCGTC